TTTTTCCAAGTACAAAGTTGACAATTTGCCACGAGGTTGGTGTCCAAATGTGTACGAAATGGAAAGAGTTCTTCCTTTAGGGCACATGTGTCAAACTCAAGGCCCGGGGGCCAAATCATAATTTCTAATCACTATTAGATCTGGCCCTCCGGTATATTGCACGCACACCTTCACTCCATCCTGAGGCTCTCCTCAGCTCAGAGCCTGAGCCCAAACATTGATGAACTTGCACCCAAGATGAGATCCCAAGTATCTGAACTAGCATCACAGAGCAGCACACTGAGTTTAATGGATGTTTCCTTCTGCACTTTCTCTCTCACGACAACAGGGCACGTTTGGTTTACTCTTTGAGGGAAATAGTTTTGTTGAAGCTGTTGTTGGCCTGTGGGAAAATGTAATCATAAGAAATGACTCTGGAAAAGCTGCAGATAGAGCCATAAGAAATGAATGCAACTGATTATTTAATGTTTAATGTTATTTTTATAGGCAATAATTTAAGCTTTGTTAGTTCATGTTTAATATGTGCAATAAGTTCATTTCAATACGTTTTGCAATAAACATTGAACCAGTCCGGCCCTCGACTAGTACCCATTTTTTTTATTTTGGCCCACTGTGTATTTGAGTTTGACACCCCTGCTTTAGGGAGTATGAATGAGATGAGAGGACTTTAGAAGGATATTCAGTCAGATTTAATTTCACAAGAGGTTCTAATGACCTGCAGTCTGAAATGAAAAACTCATTCATTTGTTTTTAAGGTGATGGTTTTTTCCTTGACTTACCAAGGTCCTGGTCAAAATGTTGACCTCATGGTGGTGTTAGACAAAAGGTCAGAGGGTTTCTAACACCACCAATATTAACCTTTGGGAACCATGAATATCCCAACCTCAAATGTCATTCTGCTCTAAATGTTAATACATAAAAAACAACCAACTTAAGTCATAAGTTCTTGCTGCTGGCAGGTGTTAAAATGTACAGCAGCAATAAAAGAAGACTATCCAATATTCCAAAACACCATTAGCCAGAAACATTTCCCCTTGGACCATTCAAACACACTGGCCTGCTTAATACTGAAGTACAAGGCTATTTGTTATGCAGAGTGACAGGAAAAAAAAATTCTACATGGCGATAGGATTGCCTTCCCTACCATCCCTCTTATTGGCTACTTGTTGCATTGGTTAGTTGGATTGGTTAGGCTTAGACTTGAGGAGTGAGTGTGAGAATCACTAAGCCAATCAGAGGCCCCATCATTCTGCATAATAATGAGCCATGTTCTTCTGTTTGTTTTAGGGATGGTGAACATTTTGGAACATTGAGCCTTAGGAACAACGGTCATTTGTTTTGGGGATAAATGGCTGTTGGGCTTTCGATCCAATGGTCATTTTTCAGAGTGTTTGGGTTGGCATGCTACCTGATAAACGTAATTGTTGCAGTCTGACAATAGAAGCAGTCTGACAATAGAAGCATAAATAGTGTTTGTAATGTCAGTCGTACTACTGTTAGGAAGTTATTAATACATGTGAGGGCAACTGTGGCTGCTAGGGAGTGCGGTCGTCTTTCAACCAGAAGGTTATTGGTTCGATCCCAGCCCATGCAGTCAACTTGTCGATGTATCCTTGGGCAAGTTACTTAAACTTGAGATGCTCCCGAAGGCGTGTGTGTGTGTGTGTGTGTGTGTGTGTGTGTGTGTGTGTGTGTGTGTGTGTGTGTGTGTGTGTGCGTG